TACCTCGTTATCGGTAGAGTAAAGCTCAACTAAAGCTGTCAACCCATAGCTTATCAGGTAGCCTGTGAACAGGCTCTTTGTTTGGGGAAAAGGGTGAAAAAATCGCGAGGAGAAGGAAAGGACCCTTTTCCTTCCCTCTCCTCGCGATTTTTTCACCCCATCCAAAAACAGAGAGCCTGTTCACAGGCTATTTATCAGGCTTCCGGTGTGTGCAAAACGCGAGACGATAATAACAACTGGCGCGTGACACCAACGGTGAAATGAGAGCCAAACCACATAAAGCATTATGAAATCAACGGTTAAAGCTTCGGCTTGAACATAGTTTTCGCATTGTAAAACAACTTCCATTTTACTTCGCACCACAGCAGATTCAAGAATAAAACAAAACAGGTAAGATTTTATCTCTTATTAAATTGCCATTTGCAATTAACAAATAAGAGCGTCGGTTCCCTATGCAAACAGGTTTATGCAATTCGTTGGCTAATTCAGGCAGCCCATTTCAGGGTTTTTTTTGAGAAGCGCAGTGACCTGCTCTCTACTAAGGATCGACACGAGCTTCCTACTCCGAGATCAAGCTTTTGTTTGTTGTTAATTATAGTCCTTGCTATCATACCCCAGTTAGGCATGTCTCGGTAGGGAATGTTATCAAGCTGTTCAACCCTTTTCTTACCTACTAGTAGTCTTTGCGTGACATGTGCGGCGGGAGCAGGGGGTGATGGGAAGGGAAAAGGGAGGAACCTATCCTCCTTCCCATCACACCCCTCGCGCCACTAAGGAGAGACAGAGAGTGAGACGACTGGGGACGAGTCAGCCGTACCCATGTCATAACAGATATCGTGCTGAGCGCTAATTTCATAGACCTTGCTCTTTGGTTTGACATGCCACTTCAATACTTCTCCTGTGTTCTTGTGTTATATTCAAGCTGCTTATCTAACGGGTTGTAAGGCCCCATATACTTATACACAGGAGGCGTCCACCCATTTTTATGCTCAGGAAGTTTTCCAGTGAGGGAGTGAATGTCTAACTTACGGCCACCACCACACTGCTTTACTAATGAGGTTTTCTTTACCCCACAAGCATCGCAAAGACCTTTCATCATTAACCTACCGTTTTTCGTCGTTACTTCTGTAAGATCTTTTGTAGAAGTTTTTGTTTTACATTTGATACACAGTATAATTTTTTTGGGTTTGTGTAATAAGAGATATTTCATGGCGTGATAGTAAAAACTTACGTGGTAACAACCCATTACTACCAAGGTCTATAAGGATTGTAATCGTAGGAAAGTCAGGTTGTGGTAAGACGACCCTCGAGACTAATAAGAACAAGAAGAATTTATTAATATTCGATGATTTAATCCTCAGGCTTAGACCGCTCGCCAAGAGGTCGACTTGTAGCCAGTCTATCCTCAGGCTTTGCAAAAGCAAAATAAAATCGAGGATTATTATACTCGTCGAAGACACTTCACGTCGACTGTATTTACCTCAGTCAAAATTATTTTAAGCTTTCAAGGCAGACAATAAGAGAAAATGCAAACCTCTTCATCTTGTTTCCCAGGACCTTAAAAATATAAACCACATAATGACCACGTAAAAAAAAGGAGAGTTGGGGGTGGGCGGGGGGGTGTGAAGCAAATTGGAGAATTGTGCTCCTCTGAAAAAATCCTGGCTACGCCCCTGATATAGCCACAGCGTTGCAATAAACGCTTTGGTGATTTTATCGGTACTATCGTAATATTGGCAAACAAAGGTGAAATAAACGGCATCATGTTACATAAACAAACCAGAGTTAATGAAGTTTTTAAAAGGTCAATCAAATGATGATTTGAACAAGTTTTACAAGTTTGACACGTTTTATAGGGATCAAAGTCTTGCTTGAAAGTGAGTGAAATACATAGCAAATATTAATGATAATAAACATGCATTTTTATTAAGTAAGATTTACCGACAACCGACAAGTTGACAACAGACCCTCTAAATGTTCCTTGAATGCGCATTAGCTTTTTCAAGTCTACCAATAATTTTTTTGTTCTTGGGATAGTTAAAGTGACGAATATCTTTTTCTTTTTTTGGATAAAAAAAATCCGGTCAAAGGGTCAGAGCTTAAACGTCAACCTGAGACGCTGTTCAGAGAACGCTTAAACATGTTAAACCAGTTCTTTGGTGATAAAGGTGAAGTCAACTCGTCAAGTCGCAGGGATGTCAAACGGTCCCTTCACTACGATAGAGAGTTTGAGCGTCACGTATATACGGCAAACGGCAAACGTCAGATTCAAGTTGAGAATTTCTCAGAATAGAAAATGAGCAGATAAAAACAGCTCAAAACAATTCTTATGGATAAAAAATTGCGTAAAACAACTAATTTGTGTTGAAAAAATGATCAGTAAATGACAAGGGAAAACTTGGCCACGTGGTGAAAATTCGCGCCGGTTTGCCATTAAAACGTGTGATGGGGTAAGAGTAACTTCCTGCCGCCATCCCCACATCAATTAATATCTTGGGAAATATTGCAGACCATGATTTTTTTAGCAAGATTCAAAAAATCTTATGCCTCTCGCTATTCAAACTGCAGTGGGTTCAAAAAGAACTGAAAAAAAGAAAATTCGAATACCAGACGAGATATGCTCGGTATAATGTCACAGTCGTAGAAAACGCAAACTGCACCCAACAGGAAAACCAAGTCAATGGAACAATGATTCAGCTGTATGAATTCAACCCCAACAAAGCAAGCAAAGCCGGCATCAATTTTAAGTTGATTGTTACTCTAATCATGCTTAATGAGTATCATTCTTTATAAGGAAGCGAGGCTATAAAAAAAGATTTTGTTTTTAGTAGGCTGATGTATGAGTTTAACCCCAATGCAGGAAACACTAACGTCAATTATACTCTTATCTTAACTTTATGTATTGTTATTCCAAGTGTTTTCATTATCATTCCGACCCACCATTGTTGTCTTTACATATATACGTAAGGAACGCTTCCAGCGCTTCTAAGATAGTCAGATTTTTTATTAGGCTCAAAGCTAGTTCTGTAGTGTTTTAATGATGTTTTTATCAGGGGCCCCCAACGAGAATATAGTTCAAAACCACTTAAACATAGCATTGTTGAACGTATTTTAGTATTTAAACGGTAGATATAGGCATATTTTTATCCCCTAAAAATTTTTCATCTGTTCGGATTTCCTAGCTGAAAGTCTAGTGATCCGAAACTGAAAATTTTAGGGATCAAACTTACCTTTTCGAAAGTTTCAGCCAGAAAAAAGGCTCCCGAAAATTCTAGGTGACCTTTTTAGGGTAAAAATACGTTAAAAATGGGCAATTATACAGTTTTGGGGGGTTCGAAAATCTTAGGAGAGGCAGGCAAGCAAGAAATTTAACAACAAATGTTCCCAAAATTCTAGATCTCAAATCGTCTTCCGAACAGATATTTTTCCTAAAATTGTCGTTGGGTACCCCTGTTTTGTTGGCTGACTATGGCAATTCATAAAGAAACATGCATGCTAAGATTTGAAATGATCTCGGTCGTGGTTTTTCCCGAAATACCAAACAATTTAGAATTTAGCCACTATCGGATTGTATTGTACAAGCACAGCTCTCACTGAATGATCTGATTTCGAGTAACGATATTGTCCTTTAACCTCGAATAACGCAATTTTAAAATTTAACCACCGGTTTCGGACCTGTTAGGCCTAACACGAGGTTAGCTTAACACACACGTCTTAGCTTAACCGCTTCATTATATGTAAGACCCTGAAGAAGGAAGACCGTACCTTCCGAGATATTTGTAAAATGATATATATATTTCCGACTGTAAATCAGCCTTGCTTATTTCAGGGGCACCCAACATCAATTTTCGGAAAGTATCTGTTCGGAGGACGATTTGAGATCTACAATTTTCGGAAAATTTGTTGTAAAATTTCTTGCTTGCCTGCCTCTCCTAGGATTTTCGAACATCTAAAAAATGGTATAATTGCTCATTTTTAACGGATTTTTACCCTAAAAAGGTCACCTAGAACTTTCGGGAGCCTTTTCGAAAGCCTGAAATTTTCGAAAAGGTAAGTTTTGATCCCTATAATTTTCGGATTACTAGACTTTCAGCTAGGAAATCCGAACAGATGAAATATTTTTAGGGCAGAAAAATATGCCTATATCTACCATTTAAATACTAAAATTCGTTTAACAATGCTATGTTTAAGTGGTTTTGAACTATATTCTCGTTGGGTGCCCCTGTTATTTTGTTTTATATTTTCACTTATTGCTCATTAGATCCTTTATTAGGATCCGGTCCGCTTCTTTTTTGTAAGCTGGTCCTTGCTTCAAAAATTGAATTAGTTTAACACGTCTTTTATTTGAACCGGATCCAGGTCATGATCAAAATAAAACCTTCCCATATTAGGCTCCCTTAGAATTAGCCTTCGAGCAAGTTCTCCGATGCGCTCTGGAGCGCAAGAGCGCTCCGGAGAGCTTGCTCGCAGGCTATCTTAGGATAGTGGTATTATTCAAATTTCCCGAAGAGCCATTTCCGCCTTTTCCACTCCTGTGTCCCCTCCCCCTCCTCCCCGGTGGTTTTTTTGAAGTCTTTTGACGTGTTTCAAGACTGATTGATGGCTGTGAAAGTACAAATCAAACCGGCCTTCAAATATTTTTCCTGACTGGAATAATAACTTTTATATGGGTTGAGTCCTCAAGCGGGCAAGATGAAGCAAATCTTGTGTTCTGATTGGCTACAAGATAGGCCTACCCTGTTCGCTCGGGATCATGATCAGTCCCGCCGTTGTCCCACAAGAAAAGATTTGGTTCTTGTCACACTGGTAATAACTCCTTCATTGGCCAAGGAGGATAGGTCAAGATGGCTTATTGGCTGATTTGTGGCAAGACAGGTTTGATTCGTGCGTGGTAAAACGCGCAACATTGCTTTTTGTTGTTGTTGCCCGTTTTACAGTACAAATAGCTATTATACAGTCATCGTGATCTCACGCTTGGCCAAAAACCTTAGCAATACTTGTCACATTTTGCCAAATACTTCCTCTAATTCATCAAGATAGCCCTGTAAAGTTTTTATAATGTATCCATTTTTGTTTTCCTCCAGAAATCTTCGAATGAAGGGTACTTCATCAGCTTGCCCCTTCACAAACTTTTCGAAATACAAACTATTGATGGCTTGCATCTTCTTCCGCTTCAGGATGATATTGGGTTCTGTAAACCAGTTTAGCTCCTGTTGTGCTCCAAATAATCTTTCATAGCTTAGTGCCGCGTCTTTTTCCAGGCGCAGCATCTCAATTATACGCCCGATGATTACGCCGACCGGAAGTAGATCTAACGGCGGATCAGTCGAGATTGGCTTCCCATCTGCACCTCGCACCAGCCTCCTCGCGATTTCGAAAAGTAGCATAAAGTGCAGTTCGTTCATGGGGCTGACAGCGTTGAAAAGCGCTGATTTCATGCCACTCGTGTTCAATTTGTAGCACATATCTCCAAGGCCTTTGCTTGTCACCCCGCTTTTGGACAACAAAGTGCACATTTCTGGATAATCGTAGTATTTTAATCGCCCGACAACTTTTATCAGTCCATTTCCGGGTAAAAGCGGCGTTGGCATAAGCTCAACTTTGAATTTCTTGTCAGCGGCAAACTTGAGGTAGAAAGGACCGCTGTCCTTCTCTCGGTATTCCATGATCACGTGACGCAGAAGATTGACCACAGCAGACCCACTCATTCCCATGATTCCATACGTGTATATATTACCAGTGCTCTCTTGGAGATCGGCCAGATTGATCTTTTTGGCATTTTTGACGAAGAACAACTCATTGGCTTCGCTTTGTCGCTTGATCTCCTCTTTTATGGCCTTTGTTTTGTCCCTCCATCCTTCAAAGTTCCAATCCAACTTCACTACGCCCTGGCTGTCGCCCATGGGTTCCTTTTTTTTTAACTGGGAGGAGAGGAAATTTTAGAAGATAATGTTGTTGAATTTGTAGATCTGTAACAGAACAAAAAGCTTTTATATACATTTAGTATTATAACAGGCCACAATTTTTAGCAACTACTATAATTTGCAGTCTGTCTACTTTGAATTGGAACACTGACTCAATATTAAATAAAGAACTGCTTTTCACTTTTGTGCCAAACTTATTACTGCAGGCGATAAACGTGTGGCGGTCATGATCAACTAATCGAATTCAAGTTATTAATGACGAAAGCCGGTACGAAAAAAAAAGATTTATATCTTGGCCACGAATTCATAACTCAAATAATTTAAAACCCTTGCAACTGTTCCGCGGACCGGACTCAACAAAGTGCAGTGTGTCTAGCGAAAACAAAAGCGACGCCATTGATAATTTATTGCTTTATCTCTAAACCCAATTATGATACACTGGATGTTTTGTCAAAACAGAAAAGGACAAAGGGGAAAATAGCAAACTTCATTAATTCACATAGGGGGATCATTCATTGTGCCAAACATAAATTATCAAAATTGGCACCTGCACACCATCGTAAAAACTTTCGCCGTTTTTCGTTGTCAAAGCCTCCCCAGCTATTTATTAAACCAGTTTTTCATAAAGTTTTAAATGTAAAATTTACGACAAATTTACGACAAATTTCTGTTTGTAAAGACTTCGAGTTGATTATTTAAAAGATTAATAGATTCTCGAATGTTTTCTCAGGAGGAAAAAATAAAATAGACAGAGGGCACGGCACACGTTTTCAAGGTTTCTTTGTTCAATTTCTTGTTTTTAGTTCTTTATTTTACTACATGACGACCTGTTTTAAATTGTTTTTTCTTCAGCCATATTCGATTCTACGGACTCTGACTTTCTTGAAAGGGCAGAGTTACTTGCAATTGTCAGTAGCCATTATGGAAGACTAATTATCATATTCTTTTAAATGATTCAGAGCAGAGAACTAAAAAGTCGAAATATAAAAGATTTTTTTTTCACCTTGACTCATTTTCACAGCTGTAAAACAACATTATGCTGAGATTAATTTTTTTTTGTTACAAAAATCATGTCCTTTTTGAGTATTTTATATAAAAGTTTAACAGTAAAAGGAGAATTTTTAAAATGTTAATGTGCAAAATGTTTATCGTGCCTTCGATGAATCGCACGCGGTCCGAGAAGTCTTCAATGGCACTCATCGCAGGTCACGATAAAAACTTGTGTCACGCATTCGTTCTACTTGCAATATTAACCCTCACTGAAACGAAGATGAACTCCATAGTAGCAGTATTCAAACCGTGCTATATATCGAGGACAAATTATTCTAAAACCCAACACTCACTGAATGAGTAGATGACAGTGACGCCCAAACCGTGCAATCAGTTTTAGAACATAGGTAACTTTCAATTTGACTGCTGACACTAACTTTTTCTCACTGGTTTGTCATATATATAATTTCGTGGTTTTATTTGAGGCCCTAAACCATGTACAAACGTAAGACTGCGATAAGACTGCCTTAACTTGGCCAAGAAATACACGTGCTTTCATTTTAAGCTAATCGACTTGCAACACCATCACCTATTCAAGAGGTAAGTTACAAAATATTTCGAGCGCATTAATCTCTGTGACATTAAAAGTATTTTGATCACTTATCTAACCATAAAAAAGGCTGAACACCCTTTGAAATTACTTTTTAGCCATAAGGAATCTAATCTTACCTTGAATATTCCAAAAAGGAGGGAAGTTTTAGAACAGAAAGACAGCAGATTTGGATCGCTTCTGCTGAGTCGTATCACAGCGCAGATGTTCCCACGAGGTAACGCCGCAACAAGACAAAAGCATCGATTTTGAGTTTTAATTTCGTGTTTTTGTTATGATTATCAAGTTATGCGAGCGAGGTGGCCTGTTATATCTGGTTCTGGGATAACAAAATAATCGATTTTTGGTCACTAAAGAACTTTTTTGCGTTTCCGACCCAACACTCCCAAGTAATGTCAAGTGTAAAAAGCTGTCAGCTGTCCGTGTCGTACGAAGGCGGGTTTCCCATTGCGCTCCTTTCAAAACGAAACAGCAGTACTTGAAACATAAATTTGCACTTTGAGTGATATAATTTTTTACGCAGTGACCCTTGTAGTATTATCGGCGGGTGGAGTTACCGTAGCGTTACATGTTTCAGATCACGTTTCCATAATCTCTGTTCTTTTCTACAAGAATTCTCGGATTCGTTTGCTCTGCTCACTAAAACGAGCTGAAATTTCGCATTGCCGTGACGTGGATGAGGCAATAAGGTTTCCATTTCAAAGGCAGTTTAGAAAAGAAAAATAAAACATTCGGCGTTGTGTGAAGTAAGGGAACTTCAATCAAACAAAGGATTCGCGTGAAGGAAGAACCGAAGCTGTTGCCATTTTCATTTTTCAAGAAAGACCAACTCATTTTCAACTACGTTCTAGTTTTATACGCTGTTAAAAGAAAGCGACTTTAGAGGTTGCAATTTTTCACAACTTCCGTTTTAGTATTTGTACTGTAAGCAGATAAAGAGGAAGCCAGGAGACCGGATGTTTTGAATTGAAATAAACTTTTGACAGGCGCCAATGACCACGTGATTCAATGCGCTGGACGCGCCCACTCGTTTGCTTGTCCTGGTAACGCAACCTTCTCTCCTGGCGCCTCGCCGCGAGTATCCTGAGTATCAAGCCTTCCTAAGGGGCTAGGGGAGAGGAGATTTTAGATGGGGGTGAGGGGAGGGGGAGAGAGCTGAAAGAAGCTCTCTCCCTTTTTCGCTTCCATCTTTCCTCCTTTCCCCCAGAAACGCCTGATGCTCAGGCTGCGCAGCGAGGAACGTTTTTTCTTTCTCTCTTGCGAAACGTCCCTGATACACGCCAATGACCACGTGATCCCACGCGCTGCTCTTAACCTCGCCCACTCGTTTGCCCAGGCTTAGCGCCTTTGATTTCACGAACACAGTCAGGTTTTTCAGAGGTTCTCGTGAGCAAAACAGACCTTATTCACGATGCCTCAAACTTCATAATTCATCAGAACCTACTCAGCCTCATCCAAATTATAGTAAATAATGATATTAGTGTTTAAAGTATTTTGAGAGAGAACCTCCAGGTCTCCCCCTCAGAAAACTACCCTGGTCAAAGGGTGGATCCCAATGGAAGCAAGAACTGGGCATTTCCAAGACCTTTTGATATAAAAGACAAGTAAACGGATCTTCTGCCTCTGCAATGATGCATCCTTACAGGGCAACTATCATCTTTGAATATCATGCCAATCTCTATAAATAATGCCCTAGGATGGGGGGAAGGCGGGGGGGGGGGGAACTTCCTAAGGCAGGGGTGCATGTGTTTCAAGGGCATAGCTGAAATTCATTTTCAACCTCCCATTCCTCCCACCCCCAAGGTGCCACTGACAATTTTTTTTTCACTGGTAGTTAAGATGACCATATTGACTTAGGGGGTGTTTACATGAGAAAACTCCCACCGGCGCGAGTTTCATACCAGGATAACTTTTTGATTTCGTATCGCGTTTACATGATGACTGGGCCATTTCATATCCCTTTATTTGAAGGTACACTTCATGTTATTAAAATAAACGTCTGATTCAAAATCAGAAACATTACGCACGCGCTACCCGTTCCAGTCTACCGGCAGACCGATTTCACATTGAAACTGGTGGTCGTTTCGCGTTTACATGATACTGTTGTGAGATTTCGTACCGGAATGAAATTCTCGCCCCAGTACAAGAACCGGGGTGAACTCACGCCGGGGTGACTCGCGCCTGCATGACATTTTGTGGTGGTATCATGTAAACAAATATAGAGCCAAGAGAGGGAACCGGAGTGAACTCGCTCCGCGGCGAAAGCCGCCCCGGTGTCATCTAAACACCCTCTTACGAGTAGTTATAACCCTAGCAGTGATCACCTCTCATATTAGCATCCTCATAGGCAGTACCAATACAAACATTTTGGGTTATTATCTGAGTAAAAAAATATCTGTGAAAGTTTTCTTTGTTTTGACACTATTATTTTCCTAGTCGTTGACTCCTTTGTTATCTTTGTTTAATGACAATCGTGGTTTTTACATCCTTTATAGGGGTATCTCCTGGGCTTTTCTGTGCAAAAAAAAATTGAATTTAGAGTCATATGACAAACACGCTTAAAGTAACATTTTTGATATTCAATTATATTGGCCTATCACCAGTGGCAGTCATAAATTTTACGTTTCTTCTTAGTTCGTACTCCTACAGTAGTTCAGACAAAACAAGGCGGTGGCTCCTCTTCTTGCGGTAGAAACACATCTCCAAATGGATTTACCTCTTTAAACACACCTCCTCCATTTGCTCCACCATTTCCTATATCAAGTGACGAAGAGCTAGTACTGGCTCCTGGTTCATATCCACTGTCAGCTCTTTTGACTGGTGAATTTGTGTTGCCATTTACGTCTTCATCCTCGCTATCCAACAAATCAGTTTCTCTGGGGGCGCCATTAAGAGAAACCTTTCCTACGTTAGGCGTGGTACAATAGTCAGAATCTTCTAAGATACTTAGACATGTTAAAAAACACTCTCGAAGGCGTCTCGATGTTTCAAAATTTCGTCCAGAACTCTTGAGCGATTCTTTAAATATTGAAACAGTTGCTCCTTTTCGCTCGCTTCTTGGACAAGCCTCTTGATTTCAGCCTCCGATGATTTGAGTTTTTCTTTCAGTTCTGTTATTTCTTCATCTCTCTGTCTCAAGGTTTGATGCATTCGAAGAGGAAGGACCTTTAAATTCTCGGCGTGTGCTTCGTTTTGCTTCTTCAGAGCCCCGATAATTCTTTCACTTGTTCCTCAAGCTCGTGAATGCGTTTCATTAATCCTTGAATATGAGTATTTGCTTCTTTAATGGCTACTGGCGAAAAATCCATGTTGATGGAAGGAAATTTATAAAACTTACTCGAAAATTTCAAAACACAAACGAAGACGGAAATTGCTTGGCATCACCACAGGGCGCCATGATTGTAATCAAATCATTCCGAGGGAGGGGAGGCTAAGGTTACACTTATTAGTTTTAAATCTTAATAGTAAAAGGAAATGAAGAAGTCTGACTACCAAGATACTTTGAACTATTAACTATTGAACTTTTAAGACATTTTAGACTTGATATGCATTTCAAGGTAAGAAAATAACTGGAATTTACAATTTATATTCACGCCGTCCCCGTCCCCTCCCCATCTCAGACTTATTTCGTTTCTAATCCTGAACAGCGGATTCTGGTAAAAAACAGCAGCTGAATAAGATGGCGGCAGCTGATCTGAAAATGAACGATCTTGACTCTGTTTTGGATTTAGTTCATCAACAAGCTGGTAAATTTTTTACGGCCATGTAAGTTTAACTTTCTCTTTTGTAAGAAAAAAAATCGTGGTTTCTTTGTCACCTTTGACCAACATCACGGTGGACAATGATGAAACAGCCTGATGAAATTAATTTGAAAACATAAACTTACGTTTATGCACGCTTTAAAAGCGATGTACGCGTTGTGGTTCAATTTTATCCTTGGTTTAAAGTTTATTTCTTTTTGTTTAAGGGTATGGTAATGTATGGTAGTGAGTTTAAAACAAAGGGAAATTAAATTTAAACCAAAGATAAAATTGAACCACAACGTACACACCCTACGAGAGAAGCAAAGACTTACGACAAATATAATGATTTTAATATTTTTTGTAGGCAAATGGGATCTGGTATGTCGTACTCAATTGAGGATGCCAAAAGTAGGTACCAATGTAAACGATTAACTTTTAGTAGGATGTGTAGATCTAGAAAATTGCCATACTCCCCCGGCCATTGGGAGTTTATATTGGTTTGTTCCTTTCCCCACCCCTTCTGGAAATTCCAGTTTAGCTGTTCACTTTCCACTACAAATTTTAGCTTTCAATACCACCCCCCCCCCACCACCCCAGAGATTTCGAGTGTTCCTCCATGGGGTGGGTACTCCTGTTTTGGTTTTAGGGAGCAACAATCTTGGTTTCAACATTTTGAAATCTACTTAGGGCTCAGGGGCGACAAAATTTTTCTTGTTCCTCCCCTGAGGCCCTCTGAGGGAGGGGTTTGTATGTCCCTAGTCTGAACTTCAAATACAGAGGAAGCTCTCGTGAGTGGACACCCGGGAAGCGAAAAAGTTTTCCGTAACTGGGGCTGGCTGCTTACGGAATGTCAAAATACAGAGTTTGTATGGGAGTTGAGAAAACGGCATTTTGTGAGGGTGGCCGTGTAAGCAGAGCTTTCCGCTTATGAGAGTGTCCTTTAGGAGCTAGAGCTTCCACTGTACAGTCATTTGACAGTTTGAGGAGTAGGATGTTTCTCTGGTGGTGCTACATGTAACTCATTCATTTCATGTAGTCGTGTGCCGCTGTTTCAAGGCCTTGTCACTTGTCAAAATTTTACCCTCACAGGGCCTCTCCTCCCACCACTTACAATGACCACCCCTTTAGTACATATGAAACCAAGATGACTGCACCTGGCAGTAAGTACTCATATGGAAAAATAGGAGGCTATGAACAGTCAAGACAAGCCCTTGGTGCAGGTCTCAACATTGTCTGGCTTTAAGAGACTTTCACTATTATATTACTCTGCAACAGTACAGAAAAACTCCGTAGTTCGGCCCTGTTGTTTGAGAGGGGCTAAGGCAGCCACCGATTAATTTAGTTCATTTCCTTTTACATGAACTAGCTGACTTGGATGGCTTGTCCAAACTGACAGACACGCTTCACGAAAAGCTCCTGTCCTCCGGTGTAAATGCCATTCCATTAGATTCGGAAATGTTACAACTGGATTATCAAGCAACAGTTAGAAAAGGACAAGAGGAAGCAGAACTTAGTCGCAACACCATGCAAAGAGTTCAAACAAACTGTGTTACACTTCGCAAAGCAATGAGTGTACCACGGAAATAGTGATAATAAGAAATGGAATTTATGTAAAAGCCATGTTGTTTCAAGGAGGTATGGTTAGTGAAATCACCATCTATTCAAACGGTGGGTAATGCCATCCATTTCATAAATACAAGTCATTGGTGTCCCTAATACTTATCCACTGGAAAGTGATATATTTGGTAGATAGCGCTATCCATCCTTTGAACACTGAACCAGCGCCTGAAAAGGACACTGAAACAGTAACAAGTTTTAACAATACGATGGACATTCAACGTCATCAAAAGGTTTAAGGATAAAAAACTGCTTACAAAACTGACAAAATTGCAAGGTGAAGTAGGATTTGAAAGGATAGTCAGACGTTTGCACATTCTTAATCTCAGTCCTCTTCTCTAATAAGCATGAAAATGGATGAGAAGAGCGTTGGGTCATGTGTAGCTGTAAGATCTGAAGGCTCTGGTGATGAGATTGATGTTTGCAATAATATTCTGCCATGGCATGTGAGTGGACAATTACAGTCAAAGCAGACTTACAGTGTGCACTTTATGACACATTCGAAAGTAAACTAAAATGTATGGGAACCTCTCTTTAACAATTTCAATAACATGGAAACTCAAAAGTCAAAGAATGGAACCAGTTATGGTTTTTGCTTCTGTCAATCTTAATTACAACAAAACAAAACAAGCAAAATGAATTCAAAATCTAGATATCACAACTGACAGACATGACCTTTAAAAGCTGCTGAAGAAAAGCTGTGTTTCCTGAGTAGTTTGTCAGGGTGATTGACAGAAGCAAAAAAACGTGAAACATTGGTTAAAGTTTTGACGTTAGGTTCGCATGTTACTGAAAAGCACAGTAAGGCTTACAAGATCACCTCTCTAGGAAAAGGAAAAATTCACGCTTTGCAGGGTTACTGTCTGACCTTATTGTAAGACAATAAATATTGTCATGCTCAAATACAAATTATCAGAATGGTGTATGGCACATCAATCAATTTACACCTCCACTTTTCCACCTCTGTTTTGGTGTCTTTAATTTTAACGTTATGATTGTAACAATACAGTTCTATAGAGCGAATTAATATGATGTAAATCTCTTGGTCAAAAAAGAAAATCATCTATCTGTTAATGACAATCTGGGATAACCTCTGCGCTCAAATGTATGATCATAATTGAGTACAACTACATTATATCTAAATATTAGGCTAAACTAATATGATTAAATCTCTTTTACTTTAGTAGACATAAAATTATTATGTATATTTTTATGAATAAATTAAATTTTAACCTCCAAAACACTACCTCTGAAATAGAATTTATCATCAGAGTTCCTTTAGTAACTTTAAAGATTTTCTCCACGCATTAATTTAATGGGTATTGAAAAAATACCTTCTAATACACTCGCGCCTCGATTATCAGGACCTGGGTTATCCAGACTTGTTTCTCTGGTCCCGTTTTTTCATGAATATTAATAAGATGTGATCTTGAACAACTGAAATGATTAAAAGTTCAATTATCCGTCCAAACATGTGTTTGAAACACTGTTTTAATCTGTTTTTGTTGAAAAAACACGACCGACACGAGATGAACAGTTGTTCTGATGCATTCAACTGAATTCTGATTGGCTCAATTTTCATGTTGCTATGGGAATGTGATGCTTGATTCCATGTTGGTTATGTAAACATAAGACCACTTGATGGTAAACTCAAATCGTAGCCATGTCTACACAACCAAAGCAGTCCGTTCTCTCAATAAAGGATGAGCAAATGATTATTTCACGTTTGGAGAAAGGAGAAAAAGGAACAAATATATTTAGCACTCGAGTTTAAAATCAGCAAGCAGCAGATCTCAGATAGTTTTCATTTTTGTCTCATTAATATTCATATTATCCAGACTCTCGATTATCCAGACTTAATTTACTCAAGTCCCAAAGAGTCCGGATAATTTAGAGATTATAAAATGGTAACAGTTCCACAGAGTGTAAAATAATGACAATTTGAAAACAAGTTACAAAAATTCATTTTTGCTAATGATAATTTGTATTTATCTACTGGGTACAAAATTTCATACATGAATCGGCAAAAAATGTTATGTTGTAAAAATTTGTTCTTAAACCCTTATAGGCTTCTGATAAATTCATAGATTCTCATACAAATTTCCTTGTTTTGCTGGTGACTAAAAAATTGGGTGTTACGTGAAAAGTCACTAGAGGATTTATCCCATGCATCCCTTCTATTAATGATGACGGTAGTGGAACACGCCCTCAGTTTCAATGCGTAAAATGCATCTAGTAATCAAACCTAATATATTTTTGGTTAATGTAAGAACAGATCACAACCAATCTCTATAAATTGCTCATTCTTCACTAAGGCAGCGGAGCTGTCTGTGATAACTCCTGCATCATCATGTTGGAATCGCCACCTTCAACTGGTTCATAGCCACGCAGAAGACTGGGGACCTGGCTTCCATTGCCATATGTCCACCAAACAGCAATCACCAACCCCAAAACACAAAGCAGTAGCACAACGCCAACTATCACCAGTGCAGTGGGACTGAAATCCTTCTCCTTCGTGACTTCTTTCTTTCCACTTTCTTTTGACTTTGCAACTTCAGCATCATTTTGTAACTGGTGGGGAACAAAACATGGGTTGTTAGAGTGGAGTCTGCTAATGAGTTGCCAAGGGACGACTTAAACCATGCTATCTGTGTTTGGCTTAACAAAGTTCTTGGTAATAGAATTGGTAACAAAAATGATTTAATTGCAGGGCAAATCCTTCCAACAAAACAAGCCCCATCTCTACAGCCATGGTAGCATGTTTAAAAGGGGCTTAAAGATTGAGTACCTTACACTTGCTCCAGCAGCAAAGGGCATTTCATACATGGTTACGCAGGGCTTGAAAACAGTCCTAAGTAGATTTTCTATTCAGGCAAGTAACTTTTGACACTTACACTTATGTATGTGTTGTAGTTAATTTTTTATCTCAGGTAACTTTTGTTTGTCTTTTGTTTTTTGGTATGGTAATATATGTTAATGATGTTGAAACAAATGAAAAATAAAAATTACCTGAGATAAAAAATTAACTACAACATATGTACATGTACTTGCCTGATCGGCAAGGGCCCAGCAAGTCATCTTCTGACTAACAAGTAAACTGACAGGAGCATGTACATTGTAGCTTCCCCCATCCCCCTGGGAACAAGCAGAACTTAAGAGCTGCTTTCACCTGGAATTAAAAGTTGTTTTCAAGCCCTGTACTTTCAAGCAATGTAGTCTCCCTGGGGGTATGCCACACTGATGAGTCCTAACAAGTCAAGGCAACCATTCCCAGGGTGGCATGGTCTTAATTTACACACACTACTGGGTGTTTACAGCATCCTTACTTGAAGGTTGGCAAGTGCTCCAAGAGAATCATCGGCCTCAGGAGGTTCTGTGGGCTCTGGGGGCTCCGTTGGTTCTATAGTGGTAGCTTGGGTTGTGGTAGCAGCAGCTGTGGTCGTGGGTATTGGGGCTTGTGTTGTTAACACCTTCGTGGATGGTTTTACTGTTTTTGTACTTGCAGGTTGCTGACTTGTCTTCTGTTTTGTTGATGGTTGTCCTGTGGTTACTTTTAATGTACTAGTGCTTTGCCTTGTTGGAGGTGCATACTTGGTAGTTGGGTGTCCTGTGGTTGATTTCATAGTGCTTGACTTTTCTGTGGTTGGTTTCAGTGTAGTTGGGTACCATGTCGTTTGACTTTTTTTTGTAGTTGATGGCAGTGAAGTTGCTTGTTTTCGTGTTGTTGGATTAGATGATGCTAAGTTACCTGTGGTTAGTTTCATAGTGCTAGACTGGCCTGAGGTTGGTTTGAATTTAGTTGGAAAGACAGTTGTTTGGGTTTTTGTACTTGGTGGTACTGTAGTTACTTGTTTTCCGTGGTTGGATTTGACGATGTTGGGTTACCTGTGGTTGGATTCAGAGTGCTTGACTTCCCTGCAGTTGGTTTCATTGTTGTTGGCATGCCTGTTGTTGGACTTCTTGAAGTTGTAGATACTAGTTTCCCCGTAGTTGGTTTCACAGTACTGGGAGTCCCTGTGCTGGGTATCACAGTTGTCAAAGGAATGGATGTTGGGCCCCCTGTACTCGGTGGCAGTGTTGACGGTTTGGTTGTCGGTGCAGCTGTAACACACTTATTATTTCTGTACACATGTGTGTAATGGCAACTTTTAACACAACTGTCAGCCTTTAGAGAGAAAAAATAAAACAAAAATAAATGTGCATGACATGGGAGGACCCCCTTGTTATACCATAAACACAAAAACTGACAGAGCTACTAATGATACCTAAAAAGCCAAGTAAGCTTTAACAGTTCCCTTAAATCATGTTACAACAACACCTACCAAAATTCTATTGTTGTAAATTCCTCCATCAACATAGCAGGCATTTGCACCAGTCCACCCCCACCAGCAGAGACAACGCCCATTGGAGAGACACTGTCCAGTACTGTGATAAGTTGGACCTGCAACCAAAATTCAGTGACACTCTCAAACAAGACTGGAACATCTTGTCAAAGGAGTGGGGAAGGGGAACCTTCTTTTACCTCTGCCAAGCACAGCAGAAGAGTGTGAAATCTTTCCTGCATTCTGCCTTATAAGCTTGTTTGAAAATTAAAGAATCAGTTCCATATATCATATTTACTTGAACAGTGTGGCCCTTGAATACATGTCACACTTAGGAGCAAAAATCTGAATACTTAGCCTTACACTCCCTCCCCCACCCCAAATAAGCAGCACAACCTAAAAGAGTAGCGCTTACCGTAGAGGGGACTGTGGCTGGTATTGTCTTTGCTGTGAGTATACTCTCCCTAGTGTCTGTTATAATTGTGCTTTAGTAAATAAGCAACTCTTGAGATTCTATCTATAATACACTGCTTTCAAGGAACAGATACTAGTTACCTGAACCACATAGTGGATCACAGGAGAGGGGTGGCACAGTTTTGTTAACTGGCACACTGCACACTTGGGGGATAGTTGGTTTCACTGTGCTTGGTATCCCTGTTGTTGGGCTTCCTGTACTCAGTGGCTGTGTTGATGGTTTGGTTGTTGTTGAAGCTGTAACACATTTGTTATTTCTGTAAACGTGTGTGTAGCTGCAGCTTTTAGTACAGCTATCAGCCTTTGAGGAATAAAAACAAACCCGTGAGCGTGAAATAAATTTTGCAGGGTACAAAAAAGTCAGTTTTACAGCTTACCCTTTGGGCAAGTTTTTAACTAGCATAATGTGATTACTAACTAATCCAAGGGCCATTTTAAATAGCCTGAAAAAATTTTGACAAGCAGGATTGATTACAGTTCTTCTGTTATTTGAATCATCCCAAAAAACTTCACTAGCCCATCAGGCAAGTTAAGAACAAAATTTACCAGGCCAATACCAAAACTCACCATCCCTGTGCTATCAGACATGCCTTTCTTAGCCACTCCTTTTTGTTCTGTAAAGGAACCAGCCAGGAGACCCAAGACAATGTAGCAAAGTAAGTCAACCAAAATTCAGGCCACCCCGACCCCTACTACCCTCTTTTTTTCACTCCTCAATTCTCTTCTCCTCGCTACAACATGATCCTTACCACAATTCTGTTAGTGTACATTCCTCCATTGATATAAGTGGCATTAGGGCCAGTCCAGCCCCACCAGCAGAGACAACGCCCATTGGGCAGACATCTTCCCAGGCCATTGTATGTCCCTGTGATGATTTACAAGTCAACCAGTATTAGCTATAAAAATATTAATATTCTAGTTTCTAAAACAAAAACAGTGCCCCGAGATTTTCAGTTCTAATACTCAGCTTGGCTTTCTGCGGCTCCTCTTAGAGCAGAGCGCTGTAACCAAGGCAAAGAATGTAGTGTTATCACTATGCACTGGTAAAAGAGCCAGGAATATACCTTCACAGCAACTTCAGTTTGGGATATTGCTTACATGCATGTTTTGAGAGTTAATACTTTTTAGAAGGATTTAAGAACCTTTCTAAGCTACATAATTTTTGTGATTATGAGTAGAAAACTTTTAATTATTTTTTACACAAAACAATGAAGCTTTTCTTGGCCTATATGCCATGCAGATGATTGTTCTCATACCAACATAACTACCAAACAGAAATTGCGAATGCCTTAAGCTTGTTGTACTGTTTTTGCACAGACTAAAAAGAAACCGTTTTTTCACTTACAGTAACATCTCCAAATAATAGAAACACTAAAAAAGATTTTTTGCCACTTCCGAACAACATTTTATTAACTAATGAGCTACCAAAATATTAGACATCAGCTGTACCTGTGCCACATAATGGATCACATGGGGACCTCGTGGGGGTAATGGCACACAAAGGATTTTGAAAGTCATGAGTATAATGGCATGCAGTTGTGCAGTAGTCTGCCTAAAAATAAGGAAGAAAAAGCAAATTAATCTTTCCTTACTCAGCTGTAGCCTTACAGAAAACAGCCGTTTCCCTATGAAACGATGTCTGAAGAACTAATGAGGGTATTGATATAGACCTTTTTACCAATACAGCAGCCATATTGAATTAATTCGATTAAAGGAGTATTATAGGATGCCCAGGGGGTATGAGGACATTTCGTTTGTATTTTTGAGCGCTTTTCGGGACATTTTTTCTTAAAGTTTTCTTAGAATAACATTGTAATGAGAGAAAAGATCCTAGTGCCGTGTTTGGATGTAATAATGTCAACTTCAACTTTATTTAAATTTGGAAATATAACAAAAGATACATTGGGACTGGCCTGCAGTTAGCGAGGCTATTCGCCTTTTTCTAGTTTAGTATTAGAAATATGGTCTTTCACCGTATATTTCTCGGGAAAAAGGTGATCATTATTCCATCCAAACACGGCACAGGGATCTTTTTTCCCATTACAAATGAGAAATGAGAAGTTAAATTTTAAAACAATAGGTCAAAGGGTCATGTCAACCATACAGTTACACAAAGAAACCTTTCATCTAAAGTTTTGAAATCCCAGTAGCTTTAGCACTGGCCATGTGCATATGGATATGCAAAATAAAATACTAGGTGCGAAATTCTGAATGCACTGCACAGCTATCAGGGATGTAGCTAAGGAAAAGATAACACGGCTTGTTTATTAGTCAAGCTGGCTGTTTTATTCAACTGCATCTTCAAAATTACCCCTTAACTTTGTTTTCCAGAGCAACTTAAGCCAGTGGTAAGCTATTTTTCAGCCAGTGAAATTAGCCAGCAGCCGGCTCTTAGGGACATCCCTGAGCTATAGACCCATGTGAACTACCAGTAGTCTATAAGTGACATAGGAGTGAAAGAAATAAATGAATTTGTGTGACTGTTCTCAAACCAGAATACATGAAATCGGTTAAATGTTTTTTTCTGATTTCTTTGTTTGCTTGTTTTTCACCATAAATTCTATGGAGGTCACTCAGCTCTTACCAGTATTCTGTTCTTTAATGATCCAGATACAATGTACTTTGCGTTAGGCCCAGTCCATCCCCACCAACACAGACATTGTCCATCTTTCAAACATGTCCCTTGACCACTGCAGCTGGGGTGACAAGGGATTGCTGTATGGATAGGAGACATATAAGTTATGTATTTGCCAGATCCAGATTGGAAAATTGGTCAGTGTAAAATACCGCAGACTGCAGACTATTGTTTTCACCATGCAAATGAGAACATGACAACAATAGTCCCATTGTTTTCTAACCCTAAAAACAATAGTCCAAAGTCAGTCGGCAGTCTGCATCTTACACTGCCCCATCGGAAAATAAAAAAACGTACCATATGATCAAGATCAGCATTTTCCAGGCTGAAGTCAAAGTATTTCATGATCTGTTGCCTTAACTCACAGATATAGAAGAAAACTTCATACATATTTTTTCTCCACCACCAAGGTTTTCTTTTGTACCTTCCCTCTTCTGAATAAAAGATTTTTCTTTCATCGTGAAAGCTTTAAGATCATATTATAGTCTCTCTCTAGTTTGTTACTAAATATTTGCATAATCACCAGAGTTCCACTGCAGTACTATTATACCATTCCCTTCATTTACTTTCTTTTGGATGATGCAATCCTTTCAAGCTATTTTAAAACTTTAGCTGATTATCACAAGTATTTTAGAATTTGCTATACTAAGGTGAGGTTTTAAAAGCTTCTTTATGTAGTTTTACCTGTGTTTAAGGATATGAATTCAAACACCACCACAACAATCGCGCTCAAAATGACCTTCGTCATTATAAATTGGACTGCCTGACTTTCAGTCTACCTTGTAAAGAAAATAACAAGTTTTAATACAATGCCTTAATAGTAAGCAAAGCAGGAAGTTTGTTAGGGGTCCAAGATTAAATAATATTTAAACTAGAAAATAGTAGTTCTTCCGGGCTTCCATGGAAATCGTCATCAACACATCATTGCATATGCTGATGTCTGCTGATTCCCTTGCAGCGAAGTATCTGAACATGACGAACATGAGCCAAAAGCGTTCGGGTCTCGACACAACTTATATAAATGAGTATAACAGGCTAAATAATTATTTCATAGACTTATTTCCAGCAAACAAACAAAATCACAGCAGCTATTCATGTCAGAATATGGAACCAGTTTCCTTTTGAAAAATCACGAGATTTCGACTGAAATCTGAAATAGGCTTATGCTTACAGCTTCGAGAAACTTTACGACACGCTGGATGTATTTAAAGAGGAAATTTTAAAGTTCTACTACACGATAAATGTTAACGTTTCTCGGGAAGTTTTACTAACCTTTTTAGCGAAGTAATAGGGGTATTTGTCGAAGAATCAAGACAGAGAATAACCACATTCCAAGAAACCCACCATAAAATCGCTCCGTTACTTGAGGGATTTATAGAACGTAACTTGAGCCGCTGGAAGTAAAACAGTCTGTGATTGGCTGCCGCTGATTCATTCCCAATCCCTTGACATCGTTTCTTCGATGGTAGAAGGCTGCGCATTGGCTGCGATGTGGAGGCCAGAAATTAACAGAAAATTAGGCATTCGGCGCGATCTTTGTGAAAGGACCCAGTGATTTGTGTAAATGACAACAGTCCCAACGGAATTTTCAAAACTGGAATATTGGTTTTGAAATTTTACAACATAAGAAAGCTTACTGAATCAAATAACTTTAAGAAAAAGTTTGGTAATCTTTGACATTGGGGACCTCACTATGCTTTCTCTCGCATTCACTCAATTCTTCGTTTCCTCTCGAACCTCTCTCGTAAAGGCATCCGGAATAATAATAAAAAAAGCGATGGGCTTTTGCACTGGTTTTGTTTCAGACATTTCACCTTATTGAAGGATACCAAGAGCCCTTTAAGTAAGGAACAAGACTAGACATCGTTCTGAGACACTAGCACACTTTGCAGAAGGTTTAGTACACAGTCAAAATGGTTCTAGATCGTGGAAAGTAGGTATTTCCATATCAAAGGGAAAAAAAACCTGATATAAAACCTTACTTTTCAGACGCAAGAAAGTGTTTTAAATGAAAACAAAACACCCTTGCTTCTTAAATAGAAGATCATGCACGTCGCTCCCAGTAAATATTTGATTTTCTTTTGAAGGAAGTGTGCCAGCCACGGTAGCTCTTGGTGTCTCGCAGCCAGAGCATATGCCACATTTCCGGGATTTAGTGGATTAAAATTTTCCAGTCTCTGTTCACACTATATCCTGGGTAGCTTTTACGCCGGCACAAAATATATATAAGGATGGGGCCTCCGTTCACACGGCACAAGAAAAGGTGATTGCGACGCGTTTTTTCTGTTAGGGAGAAAAACTCCGCTGCGCCGATCTCTCGCCGAGCGTCATATATCAGATAGGTCAGTGTTGATACTTGATACCGGATAGCTTTTGTGTCCGCACGAAAAACTATTTAGTATAGTGTGAAATTATAGCCTCATATTTAATCTCCAGTCTGCTACTAGTCTCTCATTTCATTATAGCAGTCAAGCATGGATTTTGAAGGTTTTTTTTTTGGAAAACAATCCCACCAATTTGCTTCCTAGATGCCTATTCATATGGTGGGGAGGAACTTATTATAAGCGAAAAAGTCAAATACTAATATCCATTGTCTTTAATTTAATATACTTACAAGACTAATTCTGTTTCTTTCATATTTTTTAAGACAAATTTCTTTGGCATTCAAACGCCTAAAAGAAAGATGTAAGATGATAATTGAGCCAGTTAATATAGTTGTATAATAAGTATCAAGGTTGTTTTCGTTTAAAAATACTCATTTTGTAAATAGGATAATTTCAACTATTAATTTATTTAATTTTTACATTCGGCTGATCCGTTACGATCCGGTACGCCTAATCTTAAACCAGCCAAACACGCCAACTAAACCTACCAATTCTCTCTTATAACCAGAGAGATCGATTAAAAAATCTGTTGGTAAACCGTGTTTCCGTTCTCTGTGCTAACTAATTCCATGCGGAAATCTGCATGTGGCATACTGTGGAAATATGGTGGCTGCCGGCCTTAGTATTGACGATTTAGACACGAATATTCGTGTCCTCAAACTCAGCTTCGAATTAGATTTCATTAAATACTGACGATTAGAACTTTTCATGGACTGGTTCACGGATGAGATAGCAGCGACATACAGGCCTTTGACTCTCCTGGTTAAATGGATCTGTTTGTGCGCAAACATTGCGGATATGCAAATACTGTGATCATCGGGTTTTAAGGTGCAAGAAGGAAGCATAACAATGAACCTTTGCACTGTAGTGTACTGTAGGTGGGTCCTCGGGTAACAGAAAACGAGTAAGAACTCATTAGACAAGACATTTTTAGGAAATAATATATCAAACTGACGGCATAAACCTCCACATATTGAACAATCAGCATGTGTAACAGTACACTCGTTATTGACCAAGTGTGAGGTCAATATCTGGCTAGATATTGGTCACGTTTTTTATGCGTTTTTTATGGATGGAGAAGTCGCGCAAAAGAAAGAAAAAGCTAAAATCCCATATCGACCTTACGCTTGTTCAATAAAGGATTTATTATATTTCCGAAAGAAATTATGACGTTTGAGAACAAGCTGAGCAATCGAAAGCAAGCGAGCATTACAGACTCAACTTCTTATATTGCTTAGTTAGCTAATCAGAACACACTTCATTTCAGTTTCATTGAAAACGCCAATGGAAGCAGCGGAAGCCCACCAATACACTGCTTTGTCTTGTTTTACTGTCTTAATCTACAAGTTCAGTTCGATAAGCTGTACCTATGAACTCTGAAAAATTCTACTCGTGAAGACCAAACGGAAAGATAAAATGACAAATCCGAGACTCCGAGACCCATCGGCAAAAATTTTGAGACTTCAAGACGTAAAAATCTCAAAAAAACAAGACTTCGAGACCCATCAAAAACGCTTTCGATATCGGACCCAATATTTCCCAAAACCCACGTCTTTCGAAGTACCATTCTTTAGCCCTTAATATGGAATGTCTTAACAACCGCACATTGAAATGCTGCCAAAAATGAATCTCGACACCGCTTATGCAGAAAACCGATGTGACGTCTATGTATCTACATTCAGGATAAGTCGTAGAACCGACTGACCGCATTTTTTTACAAGATCGACGACTTGCTACCTATTTTTTCTTCTGGTAAGTAGCGAAGCCATTGAGTTTCAATATTTAGACTTGTGCAACCTAGAAAGTGTGCAATAACTTGTATCAGAGCGTGTGATGGTAATAAGTAAGTGTAAAACTATGACTGCAAATTCCAGAACCTAACTAAAGGAAGCGTCTATTGGTCTTGACTTTAATCAAACGTCTAGAGAGTTTGTTTTTCCACTTAGAGCCATTTAAGTAAAGAACAAAAGTTGAGATTGTTTTGAGGCACTACTACACTTTGCAGAAGGTTTAGTAGACAGTGAAGGAATCTAGATCGAAAACATAATCAGTGAGGGAAGTAGGTCATTTTCCACATCAAAGCGGAAAAAAAACTGATACAAAACCTTACTTTTCAGACGCAAGAAAGTGTTTTTTAAATGAAAACAAAACACCCTTGCTCTTCAAATAGACGATCTCGTCGCCCCCAGTAAATATTTGATTTTCTTTAAACGAAAGTGTGCCAGCCACATAGTAGCTGTTGCATATAAATTTCTCGGAGCTCGTGCACATTCCACAATTCCGCGGTTTAGATTATTAAAATTACTCAGTCTCTATTCACATTATACCAGATAGATTTTGCGTCGGCACAAAATATATATCACATAGGACTTCTGTTCACACAGCACCAAAAAAGTGATTGCGACACGCTTTTTCTGTAACGGAGGAAGGCTATGCAGCGCCGATCTCTAAAGTGGAGCGTCACATATCGGATAGGTTAGTGTTCATACTTGATACCGGATAGCTTTCGTGCCAGCACGAAAAACTATTTGATATAGTGTGAACGTATAGCCTCATATTTAATCTCTACTGTGCTACTAGTTTCTCAGTTCTTTACAGCGGCTCAAGCATAGGTTTTAAAGTTTTTTTCAATCCCACCAATTTGTCTGCTAGATGTTTGTATTCATATGGTGGGGAGGAACTAATTATAAGCGAAAAAGTCAAATACTAATATCCATTGTTTTTAATTTAATGTACTTACAAGACTAATCATGTTTCTTTCTTATATTTTAAGACAAATTTCTTTGACATTCAAACGCCTAAAAGAAACATGTAAGATGATAATTCATCCAGTTAATGTGGTCGTATAATAATCATCAAAGTTGTTTTCGTTACTCATTTTGTAGAAAGAGGATAATTTTAACTATTTATTTAATTTTTATTTTCGAATCCGTTACGATCCGTTATTTCTAATCTTAAACCAGCCAAACACGCCTGCTAAACCTACCAATTTTCTCTTAAAACCAGAGAGATCGATTAAAAATCTGTAGGTGAACCGAGTTTCCGTTCTGTGTACTAAGTAATTTCATGCGGAAATCTGATTGCACGTTTCATACTGTGGAAGTGTGGTGGCTGCCGGGTTTAGTTTTAAAGATTTAGACACGAATGTTCTTGTCCTCAAATTCAGCTCCAAATAAGATTTTGATAAAAAAAAACGGACGTTTAGAACTTTTCATGGACTGGTTCACGGATGAGATAGCAGCGACATACAGGCGTTTGACTCTGGTTAAATGGACCTGTTAATGCGCAAACATTGCGGATATGCAAATACTGTGTTCACCGGGTTATAAGGTGCAAAAAGGAAGAATAACACTCTTGGTGAGCTTCCGCTGCTTCCATTGGCGTTTTCAATGAAAAATGAGTCCTGTGTTCTGATTAGCTAACTAAGCAAAGAAGTTGAGGCTGTAATGCCCGCTAACTTTCGATTGCTTACCTTGTTCTCAAACGTCATAATTTCTTTCGGCCATATAATAAATCCTGTATTGAACAAGCGTAAAGTCAATATGGAATTGTAGCTTTTTCTTTCTTTTGCGCGACTTCTCTATCCATAAAAAACGCATAAAAAACGTGACCCACTATCTAGCCAGACATTGACCTCACACTTGGTCAATACGGAGTGTGCCCTTACACATACTTATTGTTCAATATGTGGAGGTTTATGCGGTCAGTCTGATATTATTTCCCAAAAATGTCTTGAGTTCTTACTCGTTTTCTGTTACCCGAGGCCCCACATACAGAGCGACAGATAGAAGTGCAAAATAAAAGACACCATCTTTATCAATCAAATGTAGCTACTACACTACAGTGCAAAGGTTTACGGTCTTGTTTTACTGTTTTATAATCTACAAGGTTCGGTTCGAGCATTACAGACTCAACTTCTTATATTGCTTAGTTAGCTAATCAGAACACACTTCATTTCAGTTTCATTGAAAACGCC